GTTCTTTTGCGAAATTAATCAACCTTGTGGTTTACTTTAATGGCTAGATCTATTGGATTTTATTACCGCTTTCATTACTCCAAAGTCTTCACCAAAGACTTATATTTGAATATTTTTCTTGAGATTGGAGTCTTTTGTTTCAGGAAGTAAGCTGCTGTTTCATCTCTAGTGGTACTTTCTCCTTACCTCAGTGGAACAACAATTTGAAATACTGCTGACTTTGTACCAGAAATTCTGGGAAATAGAAGACAGTGGAATGAGATCTTTAAAGTAGTGTACCCTGCAGTCTTCCTTATCTCTGTTGAGGCAGGTTCAGCCTTCCAGTTGCCATGGCTAATTATTTCATAAAACGATTCTTGATTCTTTCTTTTTTCTCATAACATCCAATCCAACTGCAAATCTTGCCTTCAATTTCCATTTAAATCTTCATCTAGGGTCTTATGTGCTCGGTTTTGCTTTATAATGGCAACAGGAATAGTTTGAGAGCTCAATTGGAGTAAATGTTTTGTTTCATTTTGAGACAGTTTGAATTTTTCACCCTGGGTAGAATGCTGTGGCAACACAGCTCACAGCAACCTCAAACTCTTGGGCTTAAGTGATTCTCTTGCCTCAACCTCCCAAGTAGCTGGGACTACAGGCACCCACCACAATGCCTGGCTATTTGTTGTTTGTTGCAGTTGTCGTTTAATTGGCCCAGGACTGGGTTCAAACCTGCCAGCCTCAGTGTATGTGGCTGGCACCATAACCACTATGGGTGGGCACTAAGCCAAGTAAATGTTTTTTATAAAGATAAATCTGATGGTGCTTAAAATATTCTAGGCCACAGACAAACAGAAATTAATTTCACAAAGTCACTGAAGCATTAATAGAAAGTAACAAAATCCTGAGAGCCCATATCCACTGCCTGCCACCTGACAGTGGATCCCCCAGTACGCAGTTATACCCCAGGCTCCTGTGAGCAACTGCCTTGGATCCCATGGTCCAACAGTAGCTCCAGCCAATGAGTTTTGACAGGGTTTGTTGTGCAGCATTTTTGTGACTGTAGCAGACTAATACAGGGAATTTCAAATATTTTTAAATGTGCCACATATGAGAAAAAAGGTGAGTTGTGTTTCTTCAAAGAGTCTACCTAGGATCAACAAGCAGAAGTTAGAGCAGGGTTTCTCAATTCAGCGCCATTGATATTTGGGCCCAGATAATTCTTTGTTGAGGAGCTGTCTTTTGTATCTTAGAGACACTGAAGATAGAGTGTTTAATGGCATTGCTGGCCTCTATGCATTAGATTTCAGAGGCATTCTGCTTACCACACTAAGTCATGGTAAACAAAATTGCCTATAGATATTAACAAATGCCCCCCCTCCCCCACCAAGTCCGTAAAATCACCCCAGTTGAGAATCAGTTAAAGGAAGGCAGATTAGGGTTTGGTTTGAGTGGGGACTCTCTCACAGTGGCTGTTTAATACCATAAGCTCCTAAGTTGGAAGTATTTGAAGTAGATCTTGTAGGATTGATTTTTTGCATGTTGTAGGGGACTAGATCAGACAACTTCTAATGGACCTCCTAACACTGACTCTCTGGGGTGATGGGCTGATTTGAGGAGAATGTTTCATCATTCTTATAAATATGAAATGATACATACTGTTTAAACACTTGTCATTTGCGTTGCTTTGAGGACATCTCTATTTTGATCTTGTTGGTGTTAAGGAATAATACTACGCCTTTCTTACCACTGTGTAATATGAAATGATTTCAAGATACATTTTTTAGTCTTGGACAATTTTATTTGATTGGTAAAATCACAATAAAGCAGGCCACAAAATTCTTTTATACTTTTTAAAGCAAAAGTTTTAAGCTAAATCTCCATCAGAGAAAAACATTTTTAAAAGCATTAATTTAGTTTTGGGGCCTGATTTCTACTTGTGCTAGGTGATGGGTGATTTCTCGAGAATCCAGAGAGTTTTATGCAGACCTTTCTATTGCTCAGAAAAAGAAATCGAAAGCCCTTTGGTGTTCATATCCTGCCTCTGGGCTGAGCCTTGGCAGGAAGACTTAGGGAGTCTTCTGTCTGTGGCTGCCACCCCCCAGCAGCAGTGCTTGGCGCTTTGTGACCTAGTTAGAGATACACTGACCTTGGGAAGGGAAGCCAGGTGACAGCAACTTCCGTGCTGGCAGGAATGCAGTATTGAAATCGATTGCTGTCTTAGGCTATTGTTTTTGCAAGGACAAAAGAGTAGTTATCAGGAATGAGGGACGACAACAAGTGTGAAAACAAGAGTGCCTATGAATCTGTGCTACAGCACTTGGGGTATATTCAGAAGGGGTGGAAGAGCCAAATAGTAAATATTGCCTCTTAAAGATAACACTTGAAACATTTTGCTTAGATATAGGTTATATTGAAACATTCTCTACCAAGAGAATTTAATATAAGAAATTAGTAGAAGAGGAAGTCCATTATCACACTAAATAGCTCCAGGTGGCCTAAACAGATACACATATAGTACTGGTTAGAATATTCAGCTTTCTGATGCTCTAAAACATTAGAAATTATGGAAACTCCTTTTATTAATCTGGGTTATAAATTAACTTGTTTTTTTTGAGACAGTCTCCCTATGTTACCCTCAGTAGAGTGCTGTGACATCACAGCTCACAGCAACCTCAAATTCTTGGGCTTAAGCGATTCTCTTGCCTCAGCCTCCCAAGTAGCTAGGACTATAGGCACCCACCCCAATGCATAGCTATTTTTTTTTTTTTAATTATTGTTGTTGTTCTTTAGCAGGCCCTGGCTGGGTTCAAAGCCACCAGTCCCAGTGCATATGGGCACTAACCACTGAGCTATGGGTACCAAGCTGCGCCACCCCCCCCTTTTTTTGTAGAGACAGAGTCTTACTTTATTGCCCTAGGTAGAGTGCCATGGGGTCACAGCTCACAGCAGCCTCCAACTCCTGGGCTTAGGTGATTGTCTTGCCTCAGCCTCCTGAGTAGCTGGGCACCCGCCACAATACCCAGCTATTTTTTTGTTGCAGTTTGGCCAGGGCCAGGTTTCAACCCTCCACCCTGGGTATATGGGGCCAGCGCCCTTAATCACTGAGCCACAGGCACCGCCCTGGCCCATTTTTTTTTTAAACAATCATTGTTTCTAGGTGCTTAAGAGGCTGAGGCAGGAGGATTACTGGAGCCTAGGAGTTCAAGGTTACAATGAACTGCAGTTATACCATTGCACTCCAGCCTGAACAATAGAGCAAGACTTTGCTCTCCTGCCAAACGTACATTTGTGCCTGTTTCTGCCTTGATCTTTCTGATTCTTAAAACTCAGCTGGGCATAATGGCTCACATGTGTAATCCTAGCACTTTGGGAGGCTGAGGTAGGACAGAAGTTTATACTACCAGGCTGGGCAACAGTGAGACCCTGTCTCTATAACAAAAGAATTAGCCAGGCATGGTGTCATGTGCTTATAGACTCAGCCACATGGAAAGATCACCAGCACCCGGGAGTTGGAGGCTACAGTGAGCTATGATCATATCACTACAGCCTAGCCTGGGCAACAGAGCAAGACCCTGCCTCAAAAAAAAAAAAAAAACTCCCCATCACCAGGCATCCATCTGCAGGAAAGCTTCCTTTTCCAGGATCATCACCAGATTTAAAATACATTTTGTTTCGTCTGCCATCAAGGTTTTGAAAATTGTTCCCCTTCTACTTTAGTTAAAATATTTACCATCATTTACTGAAATGATGACTGTTTTACTAGTTATAAAAGCTTTCTTTCCTCCAACAGGTATTATGTCTTTTTGATAGTTTTGCATGTTTTTTACTTCATATAAGTGAAATGGTATGCATTTTTCACAGTATGGAGAGTTTTTTCCCCACTTAATGTTATATTCTTAAGATCATCTGTATTATAGATCGTATAGTATTCCATTGTGTGAATATACCATGATTTATTTATCCATTCTGGTAATAACAGACATATTATTCCAGACAATGCCAATATAAATATTCTTGTATATACTCCTTGTACAGTGTGTAAGATTGTCTCTGGAGCAGTGGTTCTGAAAATCCATCATGCATCTGAGTCACCTGCAGGGCTGTTTCAGCATGGATTGCTGGGCTCCCACCTAGTTGTTTCTGATTCAGAAAGTGTGGATCCCAACAATTTGTATTTCTAACATGTTTCTAGGTGCTGCTGACCTATTAATTTGAGAATTAATTGTTTCAGGGTATAAATGTAACTATGGAATTGCTAGAGTGAACCACAGAATGCAAATTTCCACAATAATTGGCAATGCTGGATTGTCTTCCAGCAGTATGAAAGAGTGTTTTCACACTTAAATTTTTGCCAGTCTGGTGGGTGTTAATGGTATCTGATTATGTGGCTGACAGGGGAAATCTACATTCCTTTTTTTTTCCCTTTTAAAACTTGCAGAATATATGGGGCTTGCCCACTTTAAATAAAGTTATCCAGCACACAGAACACACAGACACACACCCGCACGCAGTTTCTTCGTGCTGATCAAATTCAGTGCCAGTTGCTTAATAAGAACCTTAGATCATTATTATGAGTTTTAATATTTTATTTTTACCTTGGCCTTTAAAAAAAAAGATCTGAGGGGAAATTCCACTTTAGTGAGGAAGCTTGTTTAAATGGAAGATACTCCTGTTAATTGAAGTCTCTCAGGGTGGAAGGCTAGTTGGGAAAAAGTTAGTTAGACATCGCAACAATTTTATTGACTTCCTCAGGTAAATTACTTGAGAGCCACATCCAAGCCAACTTTTTGTTGAACAAGTTCACTTTCCAGATGAGAAGCTGCTGCAGAGTGGATCCCACTCAGAAATGTTGCTTTTTGAGTTAGAGCACGTGTGTCTGGGTCCTGTTTCCCGTCAGGCAGGGGTTAGACTCACTACGGCACAGCAGAATCTTGAGCTGGGGGCAGTGGCAGGGTGCTGAGTGGGCACTGGTGTCTGCTGTCCGTATGAGGGGGCGCTAACGGTTGGCTGTCTTTCAGCTTTCATGACGCTGGTTATCATATTGCTGCATGTCTTCTGGGGCATTGTGTTTTTTGACGGCTGTGAGAAGAAAAACTGGTACATCCTTCTTATAGTTCTCCTGACCCATCTGCTGGTGTCAGCCCAGGTGAGTGTTGCCACCATGTTCAAACTGGTTTCTGGAACTCAGGTCTGTGTATCTAAATGTAGAGTCTTCTCTAGATGGAAAACATGCTCAGGAGAAAATTAGGAAATTCAGAAATGTCATTTAGGGGAGTGAATGGATCATTTCTAGGTCTTACTGCAGAAAGGTGGCTACTATTAATTTTTTTAGTGGGTTTCATTAAAGATTTTTTTTCATGTCTTTTTTTAATGGGTGTAGTCAAACATGAGACAGTCTTGCATTATGCCTATGTTATGAAGCACATTTGAAGCAATTTCCATGATATTAGAAATTCTTTATGATATAAATTTAATAGCTTTATGTATCATTACATAAAAATTATTACAACTTGTTTGATCACTTCCCCTTTGGGTGTTGTAATGCTGTCTTGAACATTCCTGTACATGACATATTTTCAATATGTTGTTTAGATTCCAAAGCATAGAATTATTAAGCTAAATGGTGTGAGTGTATTTTTTAAGTAATTGATGTAAATTTCTAAAATTATCTTCATACGCGTCAAACCAATTTTGCTCATTCTGATCCATAACCAGAGGGTCCATTTCACTCTTCCTCACTGACACCATGATAATGCCAGTCAAGTTAAACTTGACTAGATCTGTTTTTAAAGTACTGTTTAATGCTTTGGGTCTGACTTTTATTATAATCCCTCATAAATGTACATGAGAATTGTTCAGACCTCATCCTCTCTCACCTGATGCTGAAAAGGTCCCTTCTAGTGACAGCTGCCTTATATACTTCTCTCCTCTCCAGCCATTTTCTTACACTGGGCTTCCTGCCCTCTCATCTGTCTAAAATGCAATCTTATTGCCTCCCTCCTCAAAACCTTTCAGTGGTGCAGGATACTAAAGTTACTTGTAATATAGAATGGCAGCTATGTAAAGCCACATCTTTGTTGGAAAAAGACTAGAAAGGGGATGGATCAAAATATTAACAACATTTGCCTCTGAGTGTTGGGATTGTGGATTCTTTTTATCATTATTGTCATGTTCCAAATGTTCTGTAACAGTGCTTTTATAATCAGAAATCCAAACACCCTTCTTATGGATCCAATGGCTATGTATTCAACAAATAATTATATTGAGTACCGTCTGTGGTGCAGGCACTGTCCTAGAAGAGCAAAACAAAGATTCCTGGCCTAGGGGGGAGAGGCAGGTGATAAATAATAGACATAATAAGGAAGAAATTATATGGTATCTTAGGAAGTGATTGGTGCTGTGAAAAAAAGGAAAAACCGAGCAAGCAATTGGGACCCAGAGTGTGTGTAGGGTGGGGATCTCACAGATGGTCAGAGTAGGCTTCGTTGTAAAGGTGACATCTGAGCAAAGAAGTGGAGTGTGGAAATTGGCCACGTGGCTGTCTGGAGAAAGCATCTGTACTGAATAGCCAGTGCCAAGGACCTAGGAGTAAAGGCTGTGTGTGGCACACCTTTGGAAACCGGGTGGCCAGAGTGGCTGAACAAAGGAGAACTGAGTGGGAGATACTGACAAGGGTTGCCAGTGGGAGGGAAGTAGGTTGGAAGTGAGGGCCACACCTGAGTAATGAGGACTTTGGCTTTTACTTCCAGTGAAATGAGGAGTCAGGCTAGGTGCCCGTAGCACAGTGGTTACGGTGCCAGCCACATACACTGAAGTTGGTGGGTTCGAACCCAGCCCCAGCCAGCTAAAACAACAATGACAATTGCAACAAAAAATAGCTGGGCCTTGTGGTGGGCACCTGTAGTCCCAACTACTTGGGAGGCTGGGGCAAGAGAATTGCTTAAGCCCAAGAGCTGTGAGCTATGGTGCCACAGCACTCTACTGAGGGTGACATAGTGAGACTCTGTCTCAAAAAAAAGAAAAAGAAGTGAAGAGTCATCGGAAAGCATTGAGGAGAGAGGTGTGACCTGACTCAAGTTTTGAAAGGTTCACTCCTCTGTGTTGACGTGAGACTGTTGTAAAGGAAGAAATTACAGTCCTTAAGGAAGGGTGTGATGACTTGTGCGAGATGGCAGTGGAGATGATGAGGAATGGCCAGATTCAGGACATATTTTTGAAAGTAGAGCCAGCAGTATTTCTTGATAGATAGATATGTGAGAGAACGAGCAGGACCAAGGGTGTCTGCAAGGTTTTGGCATGGGCAGCTGGATGGACTGAGTCACCATCAGCTGAGATGGGGAAGCTTGTGAGAGAGGGCTGAGAGTTCCCTTTTGGGTACAGTACTTTGGAGGTGCCTATTGGACACCTATGGGGAGATGTCAGGTAAGTAGTTGGATGAAAAGTTTGGAGTCTAAGACAGACACCTAGGCTAGAAGTGATGATTACAAAGACTGAGTGTAAATAGTCAAGAGACCTGAGGACTGAGCCCTGGATGCTCCAAGATTGAAGTTTGGGAAAAGAGAAGGAACAGCAAGTGAGGTAGGAGGATGTCCAGGGAATCCTGGAGGCCAGGTATGTTGAGGAGAGCAATCAGCTGTAGAGAGCCTGTAAAATCCACCTCTTTGTTTGACGTAAGCCTCTTCGTGATTCTTCCTGCTGCAAAGCTTACCTCCTGACGCTCTCCACAATTCACAGCACTGCTGTCCCATCTAAATTGACCTGGTGTCCCCAATAGGCACACCTTTGTTCTTGCTGTCTATTTGCAGTGATTCCTCTTCCCTGCTCATTCTATGGGACTCCTGCCTGGGAAGGTTGGACGTTTCAGACATTTCGCCTTCCTTATTCTCATTTTTATTATCCTTGGCTAGCATATTTTATTTAATATGGTGTGTACATCTCTCTCTCTCTAACTACAGTTTAATCCTCATGAATGGGGCCTTATCTTGTCAATCTTTGTATCCTCAGTCCTTGGCACATAGTCAATGATATTGAATAGTTGATGTTATTTTCTTTAGTGATAACAGAAGGACCCAGAAAGTTTAGAATATTATATACCAAAACATTAATAGTGGTTGATGCTTAACGGTAGATTTCGGAGAATGATTAAATAATTGTTTCATTAAAGTAACATACAGAAAAGTACACAGGTGTACATGGGTATACATCTTGATGAATTTTCAGTGTGAACACACCTGTGTAAGCTAGATGAAAATCAACATATCGTCAGCCCCCATGAGCCTCCTGGGCCTCTAGTTGCTGGCCCACTAAGGGTGAGCATGACTCTAACACAGCAGCTTGGCTCTGCCTCTTGGTGTTTGACATAAATGAAACTGTACAGCATTTGCTCTGTGTCTGGCTCCTTTGCTCACCCTGTTTATGGGATTCATCTTTCCATAATTCTGACACACTCATTTGCTGCTGTCTGTAGTATTCTGTGTGGCTGTACTGTGAGTTATTCATTCTATAGCAGAGAGTCCTTTATGGTGTTTCTAGTTTTAACTATTGAGAATAATACTGCTATGAACATTCTAGTATATAGCCCTGGGTGAACATGTGCACATTTCTCTTGGATATATGCCTAGGAGTGAATTGCTGGTCACGGGGTGTGCCTCTTCTTACCACTCAGTTTTTCAGAGTGGTCATATCAGCTTACACTCCCAGCGCTCATTTACGAGTTACAGTTCCCCCACCTCCTCACCAGCACCTGGGGTGGAATTCTCTACTGCCAGCTATGCTGCTGGGTGTGTGGTGGTATCATCAATATATAAATCAATAACTTACAGGGTTATTAAGACTTTAATTTGCATTTCCTTGATTAATGACATAGAGCACATCTTCAGATGTTTATTGTCCATTTGGATCAATCTTTTATGAAGTGACTGTTTAAATCTTATGCCCACTTACTGGGTTTATCTGTCTTTTTCTTTGTGATTTCTCTATATTTTCTGTCAGAATAGTTTGTCAGATGCATGAATTGCCAATAACTTGTATGATGTGGTCTGTCTTTATTACATTGTCTTAAAGTTGTCTTCTGGTAAACAAAAGTTTTTCATTTTAATGTAGTCTAATCAGTTTCTCTTTATGGTTTCACTTTTTGTGTTCTGTTTAATAAATATTAACCTAGCCAAATATCAAATTTTGAAACGTGTTTTATTTGTCTTGTATATTGTAATTTTCTGCAACAGTCATGTATTGCTTTTAGAATTTTTTAAAAGAAAAAAATATTTTTTAAGAAGTAAGCTAATGTAAAATACAGAAGAGCTTAGCACTCCAAACAATAAATTGAAGTTCAGTAGTTTTGAGGTATAGAAGAATCCAAGAAATGCTTACTGCCAGCCTCTGCTCACTGAGACCTCTTGAGAACACACACTTTCTGCGTAAGGTGCTGCTATAAATTCAGCCCATTTTCCTGGCCAGAGATGATAGGTCAGGTGTAGTGCCTTAGCCGGGCATGTGTGGGCAGGTGAAGATGGTGGGGGCCTTGGAGACACACCCCTGAAGCACTTGATAAGCAAAGATGAAATCCTCTCCTTTAGGTATAGATGCTAGGGCTGGGTAGGAACCATTTTTGCACTTATCCCCATCTACAGAGGAAGTGTCCCTCCTGTCATAGGCCAGTCCCTCTACTTGGGCTCTGGACCTCCACCATTCCCTCCTGTTTAAGAACTTCCCTGTCTTGGCTCTGCCCTCTGTCCCACATCACCAGTCTTTCCCTTCTTCATCAGCTTATCTGACATATCTTAAATTCTTCACTATCGTCCTTTCCTCTTCCTGCCATGCCTTTTCTCTTTCCTATCACAGCAAAACTTCTCAAAGAGTAACCTCCACCATCCTGTCTCTACTTCCTACCCCTCGTACTCCTAGTCCAGCCTGGCTTCCAATCAGCCTCACTTCTAAAACTGCTCATGTCCTCAGCAGCCCAGTTTCGAGATGTGGAGGGACTGCACTTGTCAATGTCAGAAGGACTTCGGTTCTCCAGGTCTGATGGACATTGCTGCTTCTCCATCTTCACAGGCTTTCATAAGAGTTGAGCGCCCCTCTTTGGAACGTTGTCCTTCCACATCACACTGTCCTGATTTTCTCTTACCTATTTGCTCCCTTCTGAGATCAGATCCTTTATTGGCTCTTACTATTTTAGTAATTAGTAAATGTTGGGATTTCTCAGGGCTTGGTCTTCACTTATCCTTTCTCTCTACAGTAGCTCCCTGGGTAATTGTATTCATGGCCATGGCCTTACGTGCTGTCTCCAGGTTGTGCTCCTACTTTCCTTTTCTAGCCAGGCCTGTCCTCTAAACCGAGATCCCTGTGTCCAACTGATCATTTGACATCCACCTTTGGAAAGCTCATGGTCATGTTACTGTTAATGCATCTGGTTTGGACTTGATTCCTACTCATCACTCCAAACTTGTTCTTCCTCAAGCTTTTGTTATCTCATTCCGTGGCACCACCATTTACGTAAAGCCAGAAACATGAGAGTCATTTTTGGCTTCTCTTTTTCCCTCCCCTTCAGCTCATCAGCAAGTCTTGTCAGTTCATATCATCCGCTCTGTCCATCCTCCCACCTCTGTGAACACCCTGGGCAGGGTCACTGTGCTGTAACTTTCACCATAACCTCCTTTAATCTGTTCTCTACAGTTTAAAAAATCTAGTCATTCAGGTGTCCTACCTAAATCCCTTCTAGGACATGTATTACTCTGAGAATAAAATCCACACTCCTTACCAACACATGATCTTCCTCTCAGACCGCATCTCCTATGCGTCTCCTCCTCCGCTACACATCCTCAGTATCAACTTTTTGTGGGTTCTCACCTGCTCCGAGCTCTTTGCCTTCTTTTGGTTCCTCTCACTGGTCCACACGGGGTTTGCCCACTTCTCCTAAATGTCTCCATTTTTAAATGCCTGCGTTGACCACCCTAAGGAGATCACCATGTTTTTACCTGTCTAGCATCATCACAATTATAATTATATAAGCTCCGCTAGAACAGGGACTTTGGTCTTCACTGTCACATAACACAACACCTCTCAGAATTCATTCCATCAGTGTTTTTGTTTTTTTTTTTAATGAATAAACTTTTGGAACCCATAGCAATTTGAGCAGCTGAAAAAGAGATGCTGTTCCTTCGTGTTCCCTTGAATACTAAAGATTCGTACTAAAGTAATTTTGGTGGGTTTTGTTTGTTTGTTTGTTTTGAGACAGAGTTAGCTCTGTTGTTCCAGGCTAGAGTGCCATGGCCTCAGCCTAGCTCACAGCAACTTCAGACTCCTGGATTCAAGCGATCCTCCTGCCCCAGCCTCCTGAGTAGCTGGGACTACAGGTACTCACCACAAAGCCTGGCTGATTTTTCAATTTTTAGTACAAACAGGGTCTTGCTGTTCTCAGGCTATTCTTGAACTCCTGAGCTTGAGCGATCCTCCCATGTCCACCTCCCAGAGTGCTAGGATTACAGGCATGAGTCAACACTTCCAGCCACTAAAGTAATTTTGGACTTGTCTTACTCTTTGGCAAATTCTAAAAGCCAGTTAACACAGAAGTGAATGTAAACCTGGTCCAGATTATACGACTTGTATCTTCTAGAGGATATTCCATTAGGCTCTGCCTAATGACTACCTTCTAGGGTTGCCATTTGAATACAGCAAAGCACAGGACCTCCAGCCAGTCCCTGTTGACTAGCTAAGTTCTATGTCCCTTTATAGGTCCATAACACATGAAATACATCATGTATTTGGTGAAGCACGCCAACTACTGAAATATTCTGTATTTTTCTGTATCTTTTGTTATCCCACATGTTTAAGAAAGTTGCTATTGGCTCAGTGCCCATAGCACAGTGGTTATGGTGCCAGTCACATCATACACTGAGGCTGGAGAGTTCTAACCCAGCCTGGGCCAGCTAAATAATGACAACTGCAACAAAAAATAGCCAGGCGTTGTGGCAGGCGCCTGTAGTCTCAGCTACTTAGAAGGCTGAGGTAAAAGAATCACTTACCCAAGAGTTGGATGTTGCTGAAAGCTATGATGCCACGGCACTCTACCAAGGGCAACATAGTGAGACTCTGTCTCCAAAAAAAAAAAAAAAAGAAACGTGCTGTTATTACCCAAACTGACCTATTTTTCCTTTGCAGACATTCATAAATCCTTATTATGGAATAAATCTGGTGTCAGCATATATAATCATGGTGCTCATGGGCATCTGGGCATTCTTTGTTGCTGGAGGCAGCTGCCGAAGCCTGAAACTCTGCCTGCTCTGCCAAGACAAGGACTTTCTTCTTTATAACCAGCGCTCCAGATAACCTCCAGGAACCCTTACCTCCCAACTGCAGACTGTATTTAGAGGAAGCACAACTGTGCCTTTTTCTAAAAATTTCTTTTTCTGGTGGAATTGAGAAAACACAAAACTCTCTAGATATGAGTCCCATTCACATGGCTTTTGTGCAACTGCTCTCAAAGGAATGCATGTTAGACTCTCCTAGGGATACCGATTCCCGGCTCTGCCCTGCAGATTTAATTGGCCTGGGCATTTGGTAATTTTTAAAAGCTGCTCAGGTGATTCTGATGTGCATCCAGGCTGAGAGCTATTGCTTTTGTGTCCAAATGGGAACTTCCTGAGAACACCATAAGTGAATGAGAATCTGTCTTCTGACTCAGCTTGTGCTGAGCTAGTAAATACCTGAATGTAGAATCCTATTTAGCCTTTGTCTTTTTAAGTTCTGAAGTCGCAAAAGGCTAAAGGGCTATCACTTCTATGGACTGTTTTCATGTACTTCACTAGTACTGTCTTAGAACATGGTGGCACTGCTTCTAAATGCAATAATAAATACAATTTATCCTGGCTTACTCTGATAATTTAGCCAAAGTAAGATACTGATTAATGAAGTTTTTTCATTCCTAGGTTTTGCTTTATGAGGTATTGCATTGTTTTTGAGCATACAGTCCATTTCTTTAACTAAAAACAATTATTTTCTGACGTTATTGGGAAAACATTCTGAAATGCAGAATTTTTGCGCAACACCTGTAAGTTGTTTCCTGTTTAAAGCTTTCCCTGGGCTCTACCCCAAGGCTGCTGGCCACAGTCTTCACCATCTGAGTGCTGGTTGCTGGGCCTGCTGAGGTGAAGCTTATTGTGTTATCTCTGAGCACCTGTGCAGGGAGCTGAGCCATGTACCCTGCGACAGGCTTCACTGGAAAGCAAGCCAAAGGGTATTCTGTGATACCACACAGTACTTTTACCCAGTGTAAAATTGAAAGTGTATCTTAAACTGCTAAATCTCATGCTAATCCATAATAACCTTTAAGTCTAGTAAATGTCCCTGGGTTTTGAGAACAGATATAGCATTTCCTTAATAGGAGTACCCAAGATACTCATTTAACTTCTAAACTCTTTTGATTTCCATTATAGAGAGGAAATGCCATTAAGTTACTAATCAGAAATTGTTCCCAGTTTTTTGGGAAGCTGGTAGTGTGAAATGGAAATCACCTATACATGAAGTGTTACTGCAGTGAACCCTATATGTGCAGTAGAACATTCAAAAGAGATAGGAATAGCCCCACAGCCACAGGACGGGTAAGTGGCTTTGACGTGGTATGGGGGGCGGGGGCAGAACAATAGATGTACTTAAAACAGAAATGTGGGCAGTCTTTATAGATAGCCATACATCATTCCAGAGGCCAAACCCGACCTATGAACTAGTCCTTTATCAATATCAGTGTTGCCCTCCCATGTTTAAAATACTGGAATATCTTAGTCTAGAGATTCAGGAGGGGATTAGAGCTTCTAGCAAGACTGTAAACAGTTGGTCATTTCCTGAAAGTTTATTTCAGCACTATTACCAGTTCTTCCACTGGAATTTGCAACTTACCAGCTTTTTGCTTTTAACTGGAAAAGTCAAGAACGTAGAGACTGAACAGTAAAATTTACTGTGCAGAGTCAAGGGGGAAAGGATACTCTTGAACTGGATTTGCTCTTACTGAAAAATTATGTTCTTTGATCAATACAATAAGAAAAATATATAGTTGCTTATTAATATTGACTTACAAATCTCTTAAGTGGAGATTCTGATAAAATATTTGCTGATCTGTAGCGTGCGAATAATCTGAGATATTAATATTACTCATACTTGAGCTCTGTGGATATTATGTATACACTCAATAGTTTTATATTAAGTAAAAAAGCTGGATATTAGAAAATAAATCTCGCTTGTATAACTTAAGAATATTTTCTTTGATGAGACTGCTGTCTTAGTTGAGCAGATCTTTTAATATTTCTTCATTATCTGTGATGGAATTTTGGAACCCTGATTTCTCATAGGATGTGAGCCTTGTTACAGTCAGCTTAGGCATTCTTGTTTCCCGTAGCCTTGCTTTGTTTCATGCCAAGGAAGCCTGGTGGGGGGAAGGGGTAGACTCTTCTCTGTTGCTGTGTGTTGACTGTAAAAAAAATAGTGTTTCATCTGTTACATATAAATGAGCTTTCTGAGCCACGACAACACTGGCAAGGACAAGGCACTGTTGCTGTTGTGTGCTGCCCTCCCCACAGGATCTTCTGTGGAGGGAAATGCAGACATAGTTGAAGTTGGCCTTGGAATTGTGAATGTTGTTGCTGTGGTTGAATATGTTGCCATGTGAATGATGATGATTTTGTTCTCTAATATAAGCTGTATTTATCTGAATTACCAGTTATACCTGGCGAAGTTTTGTTACCTCTGTCCTGGCCTGCCTGCCTGGCAGTGTAGTAGCAGCCGCCTCTTTTAAAAAGAGCATCTTAATGAAAACACAGTTGGAAGGAATTAGTAATGATTATTTGCAGACTGCATAGAAAATGGCTTGTGGTCCCAGTGTTAATATTTTTATTCTCAAGCACATTTCCATGTTTGCTGAGAGTGGCAGATTTGCACCAGAATGGTAGGTGTTCACACCCATAGAGAGGTTGCATCCTAAGCCGTCATGGCAGCAGCTTCCTCCTACCTGGTGCTGTGTTGCTCCCCTCTGCCCAGCCCCACATAGGCCTCAGCATTAAGCTTGGGCCCCAGGACCACCCCAAATCCTTGCTGGCTGACCAGGTAGGGTCGCAGCCTGTCACGTGCGTCAGTGTGACAGGAAAGAGCTTCTTGAAGGTGTTGACCTTTTTTTAGCTAAATTTTTCTGGATCCCACGTTTCCTAACTCCAGGAAGACAAGGTAGATGTTGAGCAAAACAACTTTGAAATGCTTTGCTTAGAGCATTTTGTTTATGATTGCAACGTTTACATTTCTTATTTACCTCTGTTAAATGTTAGTATTTAGAAGAGGTGGATATTATCTCTATGTAACATTGTGTATAGGTTATACTGTTACATATACTTGCAGTATGAGACCTTGAAGTCAATACACGCTGCCATGGACCTTTCCAAACCTGTATTTTTCCATGAACAATAAAAAGATTATTTAGCAAACGACTCATTGCTCACATTTCCTCTTCTTTGAAATAGTGTATCCTTCAGTATCTGTCACTGCAATTTTTATCTCTTATAAAACTTGGCTGTACGTTCTCTTATTTATACTGAGCAGTTGTGAAATATTTTTCGAAGAGAAATTCTTTATCTCATTTAAATTCATAAGGCCCGCTTTGTATCTGTGTATTCAGAAACAGTTTGGTATAGAGAAGTTCCGTGAGATGTCTGAAACCAAGCAGAAGGCTGGTCTTAGTAACTCATGCTTATAATCTTGCCACTTTGGGAGGCCAAGGTGGGAGGATCACCTAAGCCCAGAAGTTCAAGAAGACCAGCTTGGGCAATAGTGAGACCCCATCTCTACAAAAAAATAAAAATTAGCTGAGCATGGTGGCTAATGCCTATAGTCTCCACTTCTCAGGAGGCTGAGGCAGGAGGATCGCTTGAGCCTGGGACTCTGAGGCTACAGTGAGCTATGATTGCATCACTGCACTCTAGCCTTGGTGGCAGAATGAGACCTTGTCTCACACAGTCAAACCTCACATCCGAGTCCTCCTTTACGTAGATGCACTGTGGACCCTCATACCTCCACCTTTCACTTCCTGCTTTTAGCACCAACTAAAAAACATCCTATTCCTCCTTCAAGATGCTGTTCAATTGTCACTTCCTTTGTGAAGTTTTTCCTGAGGAGACTCAGAAAAGCAAATAGCTTTCTCCACTGTTAACCATTATACTCTTTTTAAAACCAAAGAATAATTTGCTTACAATAAATTTACAGATTCGAAGTTTTTGTTAGATGACTTTCGATGAATGTGTACACCCATGTGACCATTGCAGCAGTCGGGAGAGAGGACATGTCCCCCTGTGTACACCCATGTGACCACAGCTGCAGTCGGGAGAGAGGACGTGTCCCCCTGTGTACACCCATGTGACCACAGCCGCAGTTGGGAGAGAGGACGTGTCCTCCTGTGTACACCAGTGTGACCACTGTAACAGCCGCAGTCGGGAGAGAGGGCGTGTCCCCCTGCGTATACCCGTGTGACCACTGCAGCAGTCGGGAGAGAGGACGTGTCCCCCTGTGTACACCAGTGTGACCGCTGTAACAGCCGCAGTCGGGAGAGAGGACGTGTCCCCCTGCGTATACCCGTGTGACCACTGCAGCAGTCGGGAGAGAGGACG